TCTGGAAGAGAACTAAACAATAACAAACCCTGCACCTCATCGTCCAACTTTAAACCTATATTCACAGCTTGGTTCAACAAACCCTGAAACGAACTCAAGTGCTCATTCATGCTAGCACCATCTTTGTACCTCAACCTGGTAATCTGTTTCAGCGCAGATGACTTATTGATGCCGGACTTCTTCCAGTACATATTCTGGATTTTCTCCCAAAGTTCATCAACTTTTGTTTCTCCCGAAAAGTGATCAAATACACTTTGATCAATCCACTATCGAATATTACCAACAGTTTTCCTGTGCATATCAGTCCACTTTTTATCAGTCATATCACTTGGCCTAACGTCATCCCCTAGAACAGGATCAAACAAATCTTTGCAATACAACAAGTTTTCCATTCTAGGTTTCCACATATGATAATTGGATGAACTTAATTTAATCATCCTACCAGCACCCGATAACTCTTCCATTTTATTGGTGTAACACCTCAACTACCGAACCGTAGCTCTGATACCACTGTTATGGCAGAAAGGGTATAAACACAACAAACGAGCGGAAACGATTCCCAAGAAAAACTCCTTTCCTACTACCAATAAAATAGGACAATCAAACAAGTAAAAGAATTCAAGAACTGATAAAGTAAAGTAGACACACAAATTTATGAGGAAATCCAAATCGGGAGAAATCACGGGACTATAACAACAGTCAAATCTCCACTATCATAATAATGGGAAAATAGTCTTCACCAACCGGTGGATACACAGGACTTCACGAAAAGGTGGATTACAACAATACGCTTCCAAAACACCCCTAAACCACAAAGTAGGATTGGAAGGATCTCACCTAAAAAGAGTTAAACTGAAAACTAAATCCTAGTTTTCTTTCTTTTTCTCTCGTACAAAAACAATGCACGGCTGCCCAAACTTTTCTTCTCTTCTCGGCTGGAAAAACACACACCCCTATCACAAGCACCCATTGCTTTTATAAGCAATCAAAAACCAAAACCAAAACCCAAAGGGTTTTGTTCACCCCGGTCAAGAAAACCAAAGCCAAATTGGCTTAGTTTTTATTTCCTTTTTGCTGGCCTAATTTGAGGGGAACTCGGGCCCAACAGGTGAAAGGGCTAAGAGAGGGCTTGAAAAGGGTTCATCGATTAGGGTTTTCCAGTTCAAGAGCCTGTCGTTGGTTTGGCCTGGCTGAATGTATGTTTCACTTAGGTTTTCGATGTTGTCATAGAGGTTTCCCAGGGAACCCACGGTTTGTTCATCTTTCAGAAACTTCATGAAAGCACTCATCGGCAGATTTGGGATTTGGAAGATGAAATCTACGGCCGCCTTGTCCGCTTCGGCGAAGACAACCTTATTGGCTTTTGTATCTATGAATAACTTCAAGCCGATCATAGCTTCGGCTGACGATGTTGCTCCCAGTCTTGGATCTTGTGCATGCTTGTTGGACGACATATTTTTTTTCCCCTTAGTGAAGCAAAGAATTTGGAACGCCGAACACCAAAGAAGAACTTAGGGTCTAGGCTTCGGGGGTTTTTTGTTTTTTTTTTTTCTTTTGAGGAGGGGGTCTCTTTTTTATAGAGATTTGATGCACCAGAATATCAACTATCTTGGACGAGCTAGTCAGGCAATACTTTTACAATTTTTACTTTTTCATTGTGCTAAAAAAGAATAACCGTAACTCAATTTAATGGTATAATTACAAGTTTATGTTTGAAAATTATCATAAAATTTTTAAGATTGAAGTAAAAAATTGGTAGCAACAAACATATATATATTAATGGCGAAAGAAAAACAAAGGCTAATGATATTGTCACACAATAATTAGCCACCAAAGCAAATAATATGTGATTTCCCTAAATTGCTCTTCATGAGTCGACCCATAATTTACTTACTCTATCTACTCGTTTTCATCTTCCACTGCAATCATTTTGTTTCTAAAAACAAATGCTCCTCCTTATGCTGTTTTTCATCCTTGTTGCTTGAAGCTCAAATATTTAGCATCAGACCCTGTCTTCATCTAAATTCTGTCAGTAATTAGCTTCAAAATTTGCACAAAAACTGACTGCAATTATGCTTTCCCATCGACCATGAAATCTAGTAGGCCCTTCCTCGTCATTGATCCCTATCAAGCGCTTGGCAGTAGCCGATGATGCTTAATCATATTCCCTCTTTTTCAAAAATTAAAAGAAAAAAAAAATCCACCTTAGTGAATCCTATTAAAATGCGGGTAAAACCCACCTAATATACTCCCAAAATATTCCTTCTATCCCAAAATGATTGTCTGAGTTTGATTTTTTTTCTTTTTTGTTGGGTGTAATTTGTACTAAAAATTAAAATAGTGAGTGAATTCTTTTGCTAAAGAATTTCCCCAATAACATCAATTACTGGCCTTCTTGCTGAAAATCATTCACCGTGATCCTCGAACTCCCCTGCTCCCCCTTTTCTTTCTTTCTCTCTTTCTTTATAGAAGTAAATTATAAGTTCAAGCAACCAACAGATCTATAGTACTAATGATAACTTACAGCTCAAAAACAACTAAAAAATAAAACTCTGAACAGTAAGTTCCTATCTGGGAAATTAATTCAAACACTCTAGGCACATTTTGACTATGGTAACACAACAACTGTTAAACTGAAACCTATCAATTAATTTACTTACCACATCAACCGAACCCCTACTCGAAGGAGCTGAAATAGAATAGTAGCTCCACCCATTAGCAATAGACCGGGATTGAGCATGATTTAATTGAGGTAGTATATCCACGTAGCGTGCGTGTTTATTTTTAGGCGTTTCGCCTCTTTGATCGTTGTAACAAAGAAAAGGAGCTGAGAGCTACTGCAAGTTTGGATGGCAGCGCATCAATGTTAACATTATAAAAGGTTATCGTGTCAGACAACATGCCCTCGTCGTCCGGAGTGACGAAGTTGATCGCAACACTTTTCCTTGTGTCTTGTACTTCACTATCGCCAAGACGATTAAGGTACATAGTTCTCAGGCTTAGTATGCAGGTCATAGTTTACAACAAACATTTTTTGTTGGCCATCGATATCGATGCGGTGAGAAAGAAATTCATCAGTTGTGATCAATACACCAGGGGAAATACCAAAACAGAATTCGATCATGATGATGTCCTCGTGTCCTTATCCATCTCCCCATGGATTGCTGAGACTTTGTACCCATTGCTGACCATTTTCTCCTTCAGCCAATCCACCTTACTCCTTGTGTTCACAAAGATGATGGAACTCATCAAATGGATGGCAAAAGTTTTGTAAACATCAAAAAGTGTTACGAGCTTCGAATCTTCCTCTTCAACTTTCACGTAATAGTTGGTAACACCCTCATCATCATCGTGCTTAAAGAAAGCTTCTGTCCAATTTTTTTGGCAGCTCATAAATCACAACATCATAAAACTTCTGTGTGTCGCAACATCTATGATCCATCCAGGCAGGGCAATATGGAATTCATATTTGACCATGACCTCTTCTTGTTTGAGGTATACAACATATATATTGCTGTGACATTGACTGCTCCAGCTTGATAATCTGGCATATTTCTTGAAGGCCCAAATATAGGCCCGCATGTGGTTCCATCTCAAAACTAATTGGTAATGAGGGGAGTAGCACATGGGGTATATATGTTGGGTTCAAGTGTTTCCTTCCATCCATTGATAATGAGGGGAGTAGCACATAGGGTATATATGTTGGGTTCAAGTGTTTCCTTCCATCCATGTGGGACAAGGGAACATGAGGCCATTTTCTTTCTTTCATTCATTTGACAATATTTCATTCACAAGGGATCTGATTCATTCACTATATGACACTTGATTCAAATTGACTCGTCTTTGGGGGTCTACAACCTATTAGATGAACACCTAAATTGATTTATGCTATCTATTAACAAAAGAGCTTTTTTTGTATGCTCCTCAAGTTCTTGAGAATTGAGATGAAGTTGTGCATGTATTTCTATACATATGAACGTGGAAATTGATCCAAATACATTTCAACACTACAAAAGTGTGAGAGGTAAGCATCAACAAAAGAACCACAGTACACGTACTAAGGATATTTGCTAACCATACAAATTGATGATTAATGATTCTGATAATCTGAAATCGAGGACAAAGTTTTTCGATTTGTAATATAAGTCACTTCAAGATGGGACTGATGATGGCACTCTCAAGGTAACTAGATCACCATGTCACTTCAGAAGTACAAATTTCATAATCTTGGATCGTTCGTCGATGGACCTAGCATTTCTCCAATTACTTTAATCCGTAGAAAAACGAGTCGAAATTAACTAACAATACTTTAGAAAACACATGAGAGAACGACTGTATTTGATAAGGATACCATAGAGAAATACCAATGAGATGTAAGATGATTTATCCTTCAGTTAAAAAGCAAAATTTATCCCACTTTCATGCTATTAAAAGAAATTAAAACATTGATGAGTTATGATACTGCGGATTTACAATGACATTTTGAAATGAAATGTACTGTTAAGTCTCCATCCAAACAAAAGAGGGAAATCAACTGTTCCACCTCAATCAAAATCAACTGATATTTTATAGAAGAATCGGTCCAGCATATAGTATTGAAATTTAATGTTAATAATCGAAACACTTTTAGCATCCCCAGGAAAAGTACTGTTTTCGAAATTGATTTATCTGGCACTAAAATTATACCTTCTTCCATAGAAAGGGTAGAAAAAATTACTTCCGCGCATTATATGTTATCCAAGAAAACGTCGGTAAGAACTGTTTTGGACATTAGCATTGTTTTCAGCAACTTCAGTGCCTGTCAAATCAAACAAACAATCAACGAAAAGAAAATTAATGTTAGGAGGAGACAAACAAGCAACACATCCATAAACTAGAAAGACTTAAGACAACTTTAATACTATAAACTGTAAAAACTATAGACATATAAGAACCTAAAAACAAAGAGATTGTGATGATCATAAGTTTAACCTACTTGGTAACAATGCAAGAGCACTTACCTCATCGGTGCCTATATCCACCACTTTCTCCTCCGGGTTTCCAGCATTCATCCCAGCTTTCAGTACAGCAAGAGCAGACATTGGATTCATTGTAAGATCATCCATTACCATATACTTGACAGCTCCACTTACAAATCCACCTTCCTCCTCATCTTTCGATTTCTTTTCTTTGGGCGGCACGATGTACTTTAACTGGTAATCCATAGCTTCATTGCACTCACAACATTTGGCACCAAGTTTATCACTGAAACATTTGACATCGCAACCACCATCGCATACGTAAGCAACTGGTCCAGATTGGTTTTCTAGCCGAGGCGCGATATCTTGTGGTGGTGGCTTGATGTATTTTATCTCGTAATCGATGTCTCCATTGCATTGGAAACATTGAGCACCAAGTTGATCACTGAAACATTCTATAGAGGAACAACTGCCACTGCAAAGGTAAGCAACTTTTTCAGTTAGGGTTTGGTCTGCTAGGGTTTGTGCAACAAAGAAAGGACTTGATTTAAAGGGCTCATCAAGAGTAGTTTGAGGATTCAGCTTCAGAATTCTGTCTTTGGTTTGGTTGGGTTGGATATACGATTCGCTTAGATTTTCGACGCTGTCGTAGAGGTTTCCAAGGGAACCTAATTTTCTCATTGGTTCGTTGGTTAGAGACATGATAACCCCCAGTGGCAAAGTAAGGATATGGACCAAGAAATCCACTGCCCTTTTGTCTGCTTCTGCGAAGAGAACCTTGTTGTTTTCCGAGTCTATGATCAGCTTCAAACACACTTTTGAATCTTCTGATAAGACTTCAGCCTTTCTTTTTCTCTGAGGAGATGACTTTTGTGTGATATCAATGACTTTTTTGCCTCCTTCGCCCATTGAAACCTTATGGTTGTTCAAGCCTAAAAATGGATTCAGATTCGTCGCTTTTGAACTTGACGATACCGCCGCCGCTATGGTTTTCTTTTTTCGTTTGTTTGGGAGTTGTGTAAGTTTGGAGAACAAAACCCTAGCCCAAGATCGCCCCTTTGTTTCTGTTTACTTTTTGGGAAATATAATAGACTAAATTCTGAAAATGGCCTTTTAAATTATGCCAATTGCACATTATGTTCATTTACATTAACATTTGCCTAGAACAATCCTATACATTTTAGAATGTTACTTTCTTTTGTCCATTGACACTATTCATGCAATGTGACCAGATTTAGTATCAAATTAACAAGGGTATTTTTGGATAATATTTTTAATTAGAAAAAAATTATATTGGATAAAATTTTTAGATAAATATTAAAATAATTACATTAATAAAATAATTAAAATTTTAAATTAGTTAGTGAATTAATAAATAAAATTAAAAATATAATTTCTTAAACTAATATAAACAATTAATAATAAAAAATTGTAATTTTTTGCACAAATTAATATTTTTTTAAATTTTATAGACTTGGCATATATTATAAATATTGCTCTTGTGACAATCTCTAACATAAAAAAAAATAATTAAGTTAAAATTTAAGATTATTTTCAAATCTAATTTCTTATTTTGAAAAATTTTTTGATTATGAAATCGTAGAGAACTAGATTTACAAAGTAGGTTTCTCAAAAAATAATTGAAAAAAAAAATCATCCTGAGTTTCTTCATTTTTTGAATTCCTAGGCACGAATTAAAAAAAATACAATTTAAAAAATATTATTAATGTATCGAAGAGTAATTATATAGGGTTTTGTCATACCCAATAAAGTAATAAAGTAATTATTAAAATAATATTATATCATCAAAAACAACTCAAAATATAATATTAAAAAATCTAAATTCCTAAATTTAGTCTTTTTAATATTTTTATTTTATTAAAAATAAATCTAAATATTATGAAATTGTAAAAAAAAAATGTTTAGAAATTAGTGTTTTTTTTAATAAGGACTCTACTATGTATATCTAGTTTCCTACAATTTCTTAAGTTAAAAGTATCCAAAATAAGAAATTAGATTTGAAGATAATCTTAAATTTCAGATTGATTTTTTTTTTATGTTAGAGACTGTCATAAGAGTAATATTTTTCATTCATTCCAAGTCTTCCAAATTAAAAATAATATAAAAGTTTTCCAAAAAAGTACAATTTGTTATTATCTTTTATTTCAGTTTAAATAATTAAATTTTTAAATTTTTTATTATTTTAATATCTAATTTAAAATCTTAATTTTTTTAATTTAATTATTTTAATATTTATATTAATATTTTATTCAATATTAAAATTTTCAAAAATTAAAAAAAATTCAAAAATACTTCTAGACTTCATGCCAAATCTGGTCAAAATGTATAAATAGTCTCAACGGACCAAAAAAGTTACATTCTAAAATGTAAATGACCTTTTCAGCTAAATGTTAATGTAAATTAACTGACAATTTTCAAATTTAGTCAATCTATCTATATATATAACTAAGGAAAAGTCTAGAGAGAGAATACCTTAGTTATATATTCATGCCACATAGGATTTAATCCTATGTGGCAAATTTAGAGAAATTTCAAATTTAAAAATAACAAAAAAAAAGAAATAATAACTTCTAACCAAAAAATCTTACCTAACTTCAAATGTGCATGCACCACTATCATTATTACTAGATATTAAATCTTTGATATCATTAAATAATGTATTTGAGATTAAAAGGCAGGAAAAAAAAATTCAATGGTATTTTTATTATATAAAAAAACATTAAAATATTTTAAATTAGGCTGAGTTAAATCAAAAGGAGTAATTAAATGGAAAAAGCAAGAACTTAAAATAATGAATAAACATAGCAAAATTGATAGTATTTTTTTTTTTGGTTAACAACAAAATTGATAATTTGAGAATTAATCTTTTACAAAACTTTTATAATTAGTAAAAATAGTGTAAGAAAGATTAAATGAGGAAAAAATTTTGGATGGTATTATTGAGGGAAAAAACATACTCCCAATTTAAGTTCTTAAACAAATTTATTTTAAAAACGAGTGAAACTAAAATAAACAAATAAACGGGTAAAAAATGAAAGACACTACATTGAGAATCACATTAACTTATATGAGAAAGACTAAATAGAATAAAAACACAATTGAGTGACATTATTATTAGATGAAAAAAGTATACATCTATCCACTAAGTTCTAAATAGAAAATTTAAAAAACGGGTGAAGTCAAATTAAATGAATAAATGTGTAAAATAACCAAAATATAATAACTTAAGAATATCCCTTTAATCAACTTGAGAAATAACAAATGGTGAAAAAATTAGTTGAATGGTGTCACAAGAAAACGGATGATAGTTTCACAAAGATAAATTTATTCTAAATGAAAAATGCAAAACAATAATTGAAATAATTGAATGAAACAATAAAATAACTAAAACACAATTCATTGAGGATCAATTTAAATTATGGGACAAACACTAAATGGAGAAAAACACGGTCAAATGTCATTATTTAAAGAACAAAAAGAACATACATCTACCATATGTTCTAAATAGGAAGTTTCTGAAAAATAAGATATATAAATGGGTAAACAAATAAAAATATAATAAGCTAGGAATCATTTTAAATAACTTGAAAAGGAATGAATGGTGAAAATAGTTGAATGGTGTCATTAACGGGGTTAGGTTCTCTGTGACACTTTCCTGCTACACTCTCTATCAAATAATCGAATTTTTTTTATTGACCATGTATTTTGTGCTAATACATATATATACCATAAAAAAAACATATTCATTATAGATAATTTTGATATGGCTATTTTATTTTTTTATTAGTGTTATAATTTCAATGAAATTTGACCACTTTTAGTGAATCAATGAAAATTAAAATAAATAGACCCGAACTCAAAATAAGTGAACCCTTAGTTCTAAATATAACATCAAAAGTGATAATGAATGGTGTAAATGTTAACGGAAACAACAAAATTATACCAAATTATTGAATCGTAACATAGAGAGTAATAGAAAAGTGGCATGGATGATCCCATGCCATTGCTAAGGGAAAATAAAGGGTCATGTTTTGGCAAAACACATAATTATAAGTAGGAAATGCAACTAAAATAAATAAATGAACATGTAAAATAACTAAAATACAATACGATGAGAATCACTTTAAGTTATGTGAGAAAGACTAAATGGAGAAAAATACAGTTGAGCGATATTATTTAGAGAGGAAAAATTTTATACATACACCACTAAATTCTAAATTCTAAATCTCTACAAACGGGTGAAACTAAGACAAAACGGAATATTGATTAGGGAGTACAAAATATTTAGAATAAATGAATATATGAGAAAACTGTTTGATTATAATAATTTTAAAATGTACGTTACCATCAGTATATCTTTAATTTTATTATTTTTTCATGTTTCTTATACATATGATTTATTGTGGCTAATCATTTGTCATGAAAAAAGTTTTAAAAAAAAATTGAAATTATATATGAGGAGGAGGGAGCAAAAGCTTGGTTATGATAGCACATTTAAAAACAAAAGTTGTGGTAGACCAACCTAACATAAAACTTCTAAGTAGAAATTCAATTCAAACCATCAAAATATTTTACCAACATGATGTTTATAAACCTTTATTAGCTAATAAATCAGTTACTGTAGTGTATTTTTTGTACTTGTGCTTATTTTATTTACTAAAATTATCCTAGAATAGGAGGCTGACTCACAGGAGATGGACATGGTGTTAATCAGAATCATCTTCATCTTATTCTGTTTGATTTTTATATGCACTTTTTTATATGTATATATAACCAAATATTTTTTTATTTCAAGTTAAAGTAAGCTGAAGGTTTTGTTTGGTTTGTTTTTATGATGGTTTTTTTCAAAATAATTTCATAATAACTTCTCATCTTAATATACCTTTTTAAATTTTCTATATACTTTTTAACAATATAGTTTTTTCATATTTTATTATTTTTATTTGAATATGGTTGTCCCGTCCAACGTACGGGTTTAATATCTAGAATAATATGTTGTGGAATTCCGCTTTGCTGTATTTATAAAGAAGTCAATCAGGTTTCCGAATCATGATGATTCATTGTGTTTGACACGTCTCGTATTTTTTCCATTTTTCTTCAAAGCTTAATTTTCTGTTATTATTATTTTTTGATCATTCCTTGCCTTATGGAAATCATTTTCCAAATCTTAACATGAATCAATCAATGATGATGAATGGAGTCTCCAAATCACAAAGTATTCTTCTATCTGTCTTCGGCATAGGATCTTCGTGGCGTTCGTAGGGGACACTAATTAATTTAATTGTTGAATTGTGTCTAAATAATTATTAATAATAAATACGTTTCACATATCATTAACACTTTTGTTCAAGTTGTATCATGGTAACTTTATGGAATACAAAATATATATGTTTTGATATTATCATCATACACTATGATGACACCGTAATTCAAAATGACTCTCTAATAATTCAAAATAACGTACCCCATCGATTCCAATACTCAAGGTACTTTCTCTTGTAGGACTGTAATTTGCTGCACATCAAGTTAATTCGAAAACATAATGGTAGAAATTCTTGAATCAATAGGCTGAACCATTAGGTAAGTCACCATATAAGTCACCCACACACACACACACACACACACACACACACACACACACACGCACACACACACATATATACACATATAGTCCGAAATCGTCTCCGGCACGGCCGCCACCATGCACCACATTTTTTGTCTCCTATTCTTCGCCGGAGGAGGAGGCGGAGCAATGTGTATGCAGCTTTTATAGATATGGGTTGTTCGTGATAACCCAGATGACAGTAACCATAGTTGAACTCAATATGAATTCAATATATGCGTGTAGTATTCTAGAAAAGGAAATATCTACTTAAAATCATGAAGTA